CAGTGGCCACTGCCTCGTGAATGGGTCACATCGATCGACAAGTTCTTTGCTGATCGCTTAGCGGCTATTCATGTGAGGGAATCAACATTCCCACACAGCTCTACACCTTCTGTGTGGGAAAAGCCACAGGAGGGTGGCGGATAGTGCACGCGTTCAACAAATTGAATGCTGCAACAGTACCGGCTCAAACGCCGATTTCAAGAAAGAATGTCATCACAGATGGTATGTCAAAGAGTACCATCTAAACGTCCATGAATTTGATGGATGGATTCTATCAGATCCTCATGCGTGAACGGTATATCCCGTACACAGCAGTGAGCACCCCCAGTGGTATGCTCTGGGAGTGGCTAGTGATGCCACAGGAGCTTAGTAACGCCCCTCAACGTTTTACAGATGTATAACGAATCTGTTGCGATCGGTGCGCTAATTCGCACCGAGTTACTTCGGCGATGTCTTCGTCGATGTCTTCGTCCATAGCCGGGCTATGGATGGAAAGACGGGCGTGGAAGTTCATAGAATCCACGTCCAGAAGGTTCTTACTCTAATGCGAGAGCATACGTTGTTCGCGAACCTCACGAAGTGTAAATTTGCAGCGAACGAAATACCACTTCTTGGCTGCATCGTGGGTAAAAACGGCGTACGCCCTGATCCGGAAAGATCAAGGCGATTAGCGACTGGCCTGTGACAGTCTACGTTGAGTTACTTCGAAAGTTCCTCGGCTTAGCAGCGTACTTGCACAAATACTCACGCAACTACGCCGAGATGACCATTCATCTCTTTCGTTTGATAAAGAAAAACGAAAGGTGGTCATGGAGTGCTGAGTGTCAGTACTCCTTCGAAGGTACTGAAAAAGCTTGATACAATCGTCTGTCTTGGCGATTGCAGATCAGGATAGGCCATTTCATGTGGTCTGTGACGCCAGCGATTTTGCAATCGTCTGCGCGTTATCGCAGTACGACTCAGACGGCGTTGAGCGCGTTGTTTGTTATCAATCGCGTCAGCTGCAAGCAGCTAAGTGAAATTATCCGGTGCATGACAAGGAACGCCTTGCCATGAAGTATGCACTGGCCAAGGTTCGGGTATATCTCTTAGGAGATAGGCAGTTCATCGTTTACCGACCATGCGTCGTCACGCACGGCCGTAAACAGTCCACACCTCTCACAACGAATGGCGCGGTGGTTGTCATTCTTCGCGAAGTACAACTTCTCCGTCGGGTATAAAATAGGACGACTAAATGTCGTCGCCGATGCTCTTTCGCGTCGGCCCAATTTCGAGCTGACTGCTTAACCCAACAGTAGGGGTGATCCCACTGTAGCAGCACTAGCAGTGAGTATTCCGTTGTCGAATCTGCTCGACGAAGTGCAAAAGCATACGCAGAAGATGAGTCTCTTCTGCGGCTGATGGATTACGTATCCAATCCATGTGGTCGAGCTTTGAAAAGCTTGTCGTCTCAATACCTCTCTTCAACCGAACAATATTCGGTTCGTGATGGACTGCTGTACTATACAGCAGTCTACGGCGACACACCTCGTGTCGTCGTTCCCGTACATGATGATTTGCGATTGCGCAGCATGTATGAGTGTCACGATGCACCAACAAGTGAGCATTGAGAAAAGACTTACCTTACGGTAAATCGTGACTCCTACTGGCCATGCCAGCATGAGTTCTTGCACAAATTTGTCCGGGCTCGCAAAGTTTGCCAACGGGTGAAGCTTAGTTCTTCATCCCCTGCCCCCCTTGCAGCCTCTTCCAATTCCGACAGAGTGCTGGCAGTCCGTATCGATAGACTTCGTCTTCGTGTTTCCCAAAGACGTTCACAAGAATAGGGGTATTCTTGTGTTTGTTGATCGGTTCAGCTAGATACTACATCTTGTTGCTACACCGGAGTCAATCACATTCCATAGCTGTGCGCGTGTATTCATCGATACTATCTTACGACTTCACGGATTACCCCATGAACTCGTGTCTAACAGGGCCCTTCGCTTCACAGCGAAGTTCTGGCAGTACATGCTCCATAACTTGGAACATGGTCAAATATATCTACTTCTGACCATCTTGAAAGGTATGGTCAGACAGAACGCCTCCATCGCTTCCTCGAAGAGATACATCGAGGGTACGTTTACTCTTTTACGAGTTGGAGTGAATACTTGCCGATGGCGGAAGTCGCCATCAACAAATCGGTGCACGCGTCGACAACGCACAAACCGTTCTTCTTAAATATCCTACGCCATCCACGTTTACCCGCCTTTTCATAGTGTGGCCTTAGCTTAAGGGGGCGGGGGTGGACTCGCTCGAACAAAAACCGATCTAGTTCTTGCTCATCACCCTTCGACAAAGGTTTCGACGTAATGGATAGCGATGTCGATGCGATTGATATCGATGATGACGACGATACTGGTATATTCAGCATCGCCAATGAATGCCAAAGTGAGGACGATGACACCCTCACTGGTGAAGGCAACGCTCTTTCAGCAGCGCACACGAAGCGCACTGCTGCTGACAAGGATGAATCAGCAGAGGAATTTCTGCTGACTCGCGAGGCGGTTCTCCACTTCGTTCAAGACGCTACTATAGACGCGATCAAAAAAACAAACATAATGGCAGACAAACAGGGAAGAGAAAATGCTCGTTCATTTGATGAAGGAGATCTATTTTTACTGTCAACAGTAAATTTAACAAAACGTGCAGTGTCCAACGTGGGCAGCAGTTAATTACTGCTTAGGTATATCGGTCCATTGTGTTTTGCGCCGAATGGGAAAAGCATACACGATTTAACTGCCCCGTACGATGCGCACGAATCCTACGTTTTACGCCGGTCGCCTCCGCCCGTACTATCAGTACGAGCCCGTTTCGAGAGGCGAAAGACACCTCCGCGGTCAAGGACCGAGACCACCTTCGAGTGGTCCCGTTCCAACGAGCCAGCCTCGTCGACTGGCGAAGAGACCTGCTCACGCAGTTAAGCGACGTCCTGAAGCGCTGCAGTCAGCTCGTCACGAAGACAATAAATATGGGGTGATTTCTCAAGTTGCGCGAACGCAAAAGCGGCACAATCGTTCGATTGATCGTACGTTAGGGAATTGTAATAATCCCTTACAAGATCCTCAAGCCCATAACGCCCAGTCCGTTCAGGAGCCAAGTCATCTTGAAACTGTTCCGTTACACGGTTGAGCTCTTGAACATCAAGCTGATCCGACCCTCGAGCCGGATCAGGTGTTTCCGCTTGAGTCCACCGCATCCTTTGGTGGACTCAAGCGGTGGTCAACGCTTTCTAGTGGAGCGTATTTTGAATCACCGCGATGTGAATGGCTTCCAAACGAGTAACCTCGTCCTCTGACGTGGCTATCCACCGGCGCGGGACAGCCGGGAGCCTCGTGCCCAGCTGATTGTTGATGTTCTGGGTCTCGTCGAGCAATATGATGAGACTTACCCGCTGCGTTCGAAGAAGGGACGTCCGAAAACGACCTCCCCAAACGCGAGTACAGGGATTGCAAAGTGTCAATCCCTTCGGCTATCTCAGAAGAGATGCGCGCCTTCCAGTAGGAAACATTAGGGAGGTAGGCCTTCCTAGGGGTACGGTTCGAGCTGTCCAGGCAACCTGGACACGAATCACCCCACGAGAGACAGGGTAATCCTGCCTCTCTTGACAGTCGGTGCAACTTGAATCGTACACCGACTGGGTTCTCCTCTTAAACCTGATGCGAGCTGCATCAAGTTTACCGAGCCAGGCCTCACAGCCAATTCTCTAAAAGTTATGGATGAAGGCATTTCATCATCGAAGGAAGGCCTTACCGTTTCGGCCAAGGTTGCCATTTGTACCACCGATTTTGAGTGTAAACATCGGTGAAGAACTCTTTCTCAAAACGGATAGTTTTCGTGCTGGAATTAGGAGGACAGGTCCTCGTACAGTTGAACAACGGGATTCGATCCCGTTCGGTGGTCATACCGGCCACTCGATCTATTTATTTGGATATTGGCATTCAAGGAGACTCCACTTGAGGAGCGTGGCGAAGGACATTTCGGTCCCTGGCCTCTTACGTGGTGTCAGCATGAGCACTGACACCACTTCCAGCTCGATCACTTGATTTGCTCCTCTCTTGGTGACGCATAGGTGAGTCACCACCATCACCGCCCAATCTAGTGTCAGATGGACCTGCGTGAGACGAGGATTCATCAGACGAATCGCTCGGTCCGATTATCTTGGACATCATGCCGCCACGTTCCTTAGAGCCAGTCAATTTGGCTCTGCCAGTGTCCGACCCGGATGATCCGGAGGCAGGAGGTGCCGCCTTCGAGTTGGATGCATTATCAGACTCTTCAGAATAGATGAGCTCTATTTCAAGCTCATCTACATTGCAAGGCACAGCACCCGCTGCAGACGTAGCAGATGTAACTGTCGCATGTGGTGACTTACCACGTGGACAAGTCGCAACAGGCCCTGCCGTTTGTGTTAACATTAGGTGATGCGACATGTGTGATATGGACATTAGGATGGATTAGTGTGTCCATGGGTCAGAGGTTAGTATCAGTAGTACTACATGTAGACCAAGCTTGCTGTAGCTCAAGTGGTTATGTGTGGAAGCCGTAACATAGAGGTCACTGGTTCGATACCCGGCAGCAAAAGTTAAACCTGGTCCTGGTGTTTGGGGTTCACCAGCACTGTCCTGCCAGACAGTGACGTCCCCCATTTTGTGTGTCAACGGAAAGCTGTGTGCCACATCAGAGATCCCGTTATAGGAACGGAACATGGGAAAGGAACATGGGAAAGGATTTGCTGCATTGATGGGACGGGTAGCATGAAGAATGGATCGGAAGGATGAGTAGCAACGGTAGGAACGAGTTGGCACTCAAAACATAATTCACTTTTGGTTTTGCTACTTCGACCAACAGTCATCTTCACTTCAACGCTCTGCTAACTTTAACAGGTTGTGAGCCCAAGTAACGACTCCACGCCCAAGGTGGCACAGTTTGACGGCACAAACTATCCGTTATGGGCGTTCAAGATGAAGATGTACCTCATCTCCAAGGGGTTATGGGAAGCGGTTAACGCCACATCTGGCGTCTCCGAGGCGAAGGAGCAGCAGGCGCATGCGGCAATCGTGCTCAACTTGAGCGATACTCAGCTCATGCATGTCATTACAACGAGTAGTGCATGCGAAGCATGGGGAGCACTCGCGCGAGTTTATCGGACCCAAGACATGGCAAGTCGGCTGTGGCTAAAGGAGAAGTTTGCGACATTCAAGTTTGCGGCATCGGACATGAGCGCCCACGTTATGGAGCTGGAGCGGCTCGTGCTGGAAATGAATGGAGCTTCGTGTGGACCAAGTGAAGAAGATTCGTGTGCAACGTTGCTGCGAAGTCTCCCGGCGCAATACGAGGGACTGGTGCAGGCTTTTCGCATGAGCGTCACACAATTCAGCTTTAAAGATCTGGTGAGCAAGCTGATCGCCGAGGAAGTGCGCAAGAAGGATTCGACGCGCATTGAAAACGAGACAGCGCTACATGTTGGCAAACGACAGGAGAAGAAAAGCTTTAACAAAACTAGCGGTGGTCCGCGGAAGACAGGGTCAAGTGTTCAGTGCTTTTATTTGTGGTAAGCGCGGACACTACGCGCGAGACTGCAGGAAAAAAGAAAGCTGCTAATGGCGAGAGACAAGAAGATCACTCGAATGTGGCGTTCACAGTCACTCAAGGAAATATGAGCGACTGCTGGATCATGGACAGCGACGCAACGGCGCACATGTGCAAGGACAAAGACGCGTTTATCGAATATACAGCATCACCGACGACACGCAATGTGAAAAGCGCGAAAAACAGTGCAAGCTTAAAGGTGCTTGACAAGGCACGGTGATCTTGCGTGTTTGGAATGGCACATTGTGGATTAATGCCCGGCTGGAAAATACACTACACGTGCAAGATCTCAACAAGAACCTGTTCTCAGTGACATCAGCTACTGCACGCGGGATGACGGTTGAAATCACCAGCGACGGGTGCACTGTTTTAAAGAGCGGGCGAATCGTCGCGACAGGAAAGCGATGTGGTATGCTTATCAATCTAAATGTCGAAGAAAGTCCACAATGCCATATGGTGGAGGGTGAAGCTGAACTGTGGCACCGCCGACTTGGACACGTGTCATACTCGACTGTGAACAAGCTGATTCACGGAAAGCTGTGTGCCACATCAGAGATCCCGTTATAGGAACGGAACATGGGAAAGGAACATGGGAAAGGATTTGCTGCATTGATGGGACGGGTAGCATGAAGAATGGATCGGAAGGATGAGTAGCAACGGTAGGAACGAGTTGGCACTCAAAACATAATTCACTTTTGGTTTTGCTACTTCGACCAACAGTCATCTTCACTTCAACGCTCTGCTAACTTTAACAGTTTGCTCACTTAAACAGCAGACTAATTAGCACGTGCTGCTGAAGCTTTGAGAAGTGCTCTCTTTGGCTGCACGCATGCGTGCAAGCTCCTTCTAGGCTGCTTCAGCAGCACATGGCATGGATTTCAAAACCATGCAATCAATTGGCAAATGAGTCGGAACTTGACCAACAAGTGCTCCCGTTCCTAGAGTGATCCAACAATGATCACCTTGTCCCCAACAAATGTGATTTTGTATACAGGTGAATGATATTGAAAGAGAGGGGGTGATGTAACAGGGTAGCCCTTTACATGATGTTGACACCAAACGGTGTCAACAGGGAGATTATCTAGCGTGACAATCTCCTGCCAATATCATCTGAGATAGGCAATATTGAAGGATCAACCCCCCCTTATGATCTTGTTCACCGGCTGCTCGAAGATTGGTCGATAAAAGATATGTCAACCATAGATTGCCACCAATTGCTGCTAGACGCGCGTAATGAGTGGTGAGCAGGTAGTCGTCGTACGACGGTGTAGTTTAATACAGTTCGATAAAAGCTGAAGTTAAATTGATAGCTTAACTATATTAAATACAGTTATCTTTTACCTTTACTTGAACGATTCGTTCAAGTAGATTAGCTTCCTCTGCACGTTTTAGTGTACGTGAAGTTTCGTGGCACCTGGACAAAGGGTGCCATGTTACACTTAATGTATTCCAAAGTCGTGCACATACTCTTTACCTTCAATTGTACAATTGGAGCACCCTTTCTCTCTCGTAACTCGAACACTGAGAATATCGGTACATCCCGCTTGTTGCGAGCCCGAAGGGTGGAGTTTTTATTGACTCTGCGCAAGGTGGATGCCGAGCGTTTTAAACCGTACTTATCTGCGCTTGTCTGCCGGTGTGCAATTAACGCCTGGTGTACCTTTCACGTCAATCTAAGTGCTTCGTAGTCTGTGCCCTCTATTTAGGCATCACGCTTTGATGAGGTCACTAATTTGTGACTGCAAGGATGTAATGTTTACACTCGCGCATGTTTGGCTTAAAGTGATGAAAAGGGCGGACAGAGTGCTAAGAAGCAAATGCTAGACACTCAGAGGCAGCGAGAAAGTCGCGCATTTCGCAGACAGTAAGTGTGAGTGGTTTTGATCTGAAAACCTTGAAATAGTAAGAGGTCAAGGTCACGGCATTTATCGGTAGCAGTGGAAGATCATTTCCTTTAGTTTCTCTTCAGCACGGAAATTGTAACGGGGCACCCTGAAGCTTGTACTGGTGACAGTACAAGCTACTTATTCTGATAACAGAATAAGGCGGTGCCTCGTAACTTCACGTACACTCGTACGTGCAGAGGAAGACGGTAAGAAGAAGCGAGTACTTGGTTAAAGTAAAAAGTAGAACTGTATTTATAATAGTTAATGTCTGTTAATTTAATCACTATTTATCCTCATCTAACTATGTCTAAATACAAATGTGTAAATCAGTTATCTGCTCACCACCCATTGCGTGCGTCCGTCATGGCGCGTCTTCGTTGGTTGATATAATGGCCTATATCAACCAATTAGTAACTACTGTAAGTGCTGCAGAATATTTGTCCTTACGACAATATTCTGTGAATATAACTCTTATAGTTATATTCTATTAACAATTTCTTACAAATTGTTATGTAACGATTCACCCCGTTACATCAAGGATCCATCACCTTGTCCCCAGCGCGAAAAACTATCGGGCTGAGAATGAATTCTTCATCGATATTTTGTTTAGACATCGATGGTACAGTGGGAATCACAAACGTGATGGTCCCTCACTGCTTCAGGCGTGGAACGCCTACATCCATAACCTTGAGGATGTAGGTCGTGACGCTTCGAACGACAAACTTATCAAAGCTCGTGATAAGTTTGAAAAGCGAACCCCGACAGGTGCACGCTACGAGCTGCATCGTCTATCAAGGGAAAAAGGATTACCCTGCCTCTCATGGGGAGACTCGTGCTCATGTTGTGTGAACAACTCTGCACGAGCACCTAAGGAGGCTTACCTCCTTACCAGCCCGTGGTGGCGCGTACGTGTCTCTACTGAGATGTACGAAGGGATTGACAACATGAAATCCCTTTACGACCGTGCCGGGAAGACTTTCTCCGGCGGTCCTTCTGCGGCACAGGATGTGCCGCATCGTACTGCTCGTACAGACCCAGGGACGTCAACCATCAGCTGGGAGCGGGGCTCCCAAGTATCCCAGGACGGGGGATAGCCGCGCCACCGGACGAGATAACTCGTCCGACGTCCGTTCACGTCGCGGTGGTTCAACAGCTGCTCAACTAGATAGCGCTGGCCACCGCGAGAGTCCTCTAATGGAGGTGGAGGAGGAGGGAAGACGCTCTCCACACGATCATGGGGATCCGTGTGTTCCCGAGAGCTTCTTTGATCGCGTAACGCAAGCGTTACGCTACGATCTCGAACATTAGCAGGACAGGCGTCTCCAAATGGCGGACACTGTCTTGAAGCATCGAGCTGAGTTTGCCTTGCTCATCTTGAGAACGAGAGAGCTCTGACATCTCTGCGTGACGAGCTAAGGGTAGATCGTGGGGATGTTGACCGGTCTCGGGCTGAGATAACTGCTCTTCAGACACTTGTCGATGCCCACCATCGGGAGCACAAGGCTCTCTGCAAGATGCTTGAGCGCAAGGGCGTTCTTCATCGGGAGGAGCAGCGTACTGATGGTACGGCTTAATCCGACCAACGTAAAACGTGGGATGCGTTCGCATCTTACGTGGTAACTCGATCGTGTATGCATTGCCTAGGCGGTGCAATACACGAAATGGGCCGATGTACTTGGGTAGTAGTTTACTGCTACCCAAGTTATTCACTACATGCTTTGGTACATTAACCGTAGACAGTAGGACTAAGTCACCTTTATTAAATAAAAGAGTGTTTGCCCTTCCATTCTTGTCAGCGTTTTGCTTTTGCTTATCCACCGCTTCGGCGATGGAGTCTTGCACAAAACGGACTACCGTTTCACGAGCCAGTATGAACTCATCTGATGACTCGTTAGCTTCAGTGCGCTGTGAGTGCACTGCAGCAACATCAATCTTTTCTTCAGTGAGGGCTTCCGCACTCTCACTGGCATCATCTTCTTCAATATCGATGTTATCGATATCGGCATCAAACGCAATGACCTCTTCGTCAGAGCGTGATGAGCGTGAACCAATTCGGTTTTTGCTAGCGCGAGTCCCCCCCCTTGAACCAGAGTTACACTCTAGTAAGGTGGGTACACGCGGATGGCGCAAGCCATTCACGTAAAACGGTGTATGTGTCGTGGACGCATGCACCGAGTTGTTAATGGCAAACTCTACCATTGGCAAAAAATCACTCCAACTCTTAAAGGAGTGTACGTATCCTCGAAGTATCTCTTCGAGGACACGATTGGCACGTTCCGTCTGACCATCTGACTCTGGATGATCAGATGTCGACATCTTCAAGCGCGTTCCGAGTGATTTGAACACGGAACGCCAGAAATCAGCAGTGAAGCGTGAATCTCTGTCTGATACGAGTTCACGGAGCAACCCATGAAGTCGAAAGATGGTGTCAATAAAGACACAAGCACAGCCACTTGCCGTGATTGTCTCTGGTACAGCCACTAGGTGTACCATTTTGCTGAATCTGTCAACAAATACGAGAATACCCGTACTCCCGCGTGCGTCTTTGGGTAACCCGAAGACAAAATCCATTGAGATGGATTCCCAGCACTCAGCCGTAACCGGTAGACTGTAAAGGTGCACGCAGTGAAGGACTTGACTTCACTCGTTGACAGACTTCGCATGCGCGAACATACTTTCGCACAAACTGATACTGGCGGGGCCAGTAAAAGTCTCGACTCACCGTGAGAAATGTTTTCTCCCGGCCACGATGTCCTCCTGGAGGAGCATCTTGATACTCGAACATGATCCGCAAACGCAGATCAGTATCATCTGGAATGACAACACGTGGTGTGTCACCAGAAACGGCTGTATAATACAGTAAACCGTTACGAGTAGTGTATCGATCTGATGCAGATCGATACGCAGACGACAACCGTTTCAACGATTCTCGAGATGGTTGGGAGAGATGTGTCAACAACTTCACAATCTCACCATCTTGGGCGTATGCCCGCCTCACATCATCATGCAACGTTGAAGATGAGACTGCGGACGTCATAACTGCAACAGTGACTGTCTCACTGTTGGGTTTCGCGACTGTTTCAAAGTCTGGACGACGTGAGAGTGCATCAGCGACGACATTAAGTCGTCCTGGTTTGTACTCGACCGTAAAGTTGTATTCCGCAAAGAATGAAAACCACCGCGCCATTCGTTGGGAAAGGTGCGGGCTGTTCACTGCCGTGCGCAATGACGCATGGTCAGTGTAAACAATGAAGGGGCTATCTCCTATTAGATAGACTCTGAACTTCGCAAGTGCATACTTCATGGCAAAGAGTTCCTTGTCATGCACTGGATAGTTCCGCTCAGCTGGTTGCAGCTGACGCGACTGATAGCAGACGACGCGTTCAACGCCTTCAAGATCGTACTGCATTAATGCACAGCCGATTGCGAAATCGCTGGCATCACAGACCACATGAAATGGCCTGTCCTGATCGGCTATTGCTAGGACTGGGGATTGTATCAAGCTCTGCTTGATACCATCAAAGGAGCGCTGACATTCAGCGTTCCATAACCACCTCTCGTTCTTTTTCAACAAACGAGAGAGGTGCATAGTCATCTCGGCGTAATTGCGTGAATACTTGTGCAAATACGCCGCTAGCCCAAGGAATTTTTGAAGACCTTTGACATCAACTGGCACAGGCCAGTCGGTGATCGCCTTGATCTTTCGGGATCAGGACGCACACCGTTCTTACCAACGATGCACCCAAGAAGTGGTATTTCGCTTGCTGCAAATATACACTTCTTAAGATTTGCATACAATTGATGCTTTCGCATGATTGTAAGACCTGTCGGACGTGGTACCTGTGAACCTCAACGTCCGACTTTCCATCCATCCATAGCTCGACTATGAATGAATACGTCATCGAAATAACTCGGCGCGAATTCTCGTACTGGTCTCAACAGATGTGATACACATCTGTTGAACGTGGCAGGGGCATTACTAAGCCCTTGTGGCATTACTAGCCATTCCCAGAGCCTGCCACTAGGCGTGCTCACTGCGGTATAGGGTATATCCCTTTCTCGCATTAGGATTTGATAGAAGCCATCCATCAAATCCATGGACGAAAAGATGGTACTCTTTGACATACCATCAATGATTACGTCCTTCCTTGGTATCGGCGTCTGAGCCGGTACCGTTGCAGCATTCAACTTGTTAAATGCATGCACTATCCGCCAGCCTCCTGTTGCTTTTCGAACACAGAAGGTCGGAGAGCTATGTGGGGAAGTTGATTCCCTCACATGGCCCGAAGCTAAACGATCGGCAAAGAACTTGTCGATCGCAAGTACTTGTTCACGGGGCAGTGGCCACTGCTTCATGACACAGTACTTCGAGCCTGGTTTAAGCTCGACCTCGTGTCGAATACCTTTATCCTTCGGTAATTGGCACGGAACAGTTTCAGGGAATACATTCTTGAATTCAACCAAATCTTCATAGAGAGGATTTGTCTTGAGCGATTCCCACGATTGGGAGTCATATCGCTCAACTCGTGTCTTTTCATCTAGGACACTCTCGTCCATAGATGAACTACTGAGAACTCTCTCGTTCTCAGTGAACACTGTTGCTGACCTTATGTCGGCTACACACTCGTCGTCAGCGACGAGTACGCAGATCTGCTTGACTTTGCCACTACGCAGATCACGCAAGAACCTTTTATGTTCGAGAGTTGGCAACTGAGTGATCTCCGAAGTCAACTTCGGAGGCGCAATCAGATCGAGTGTATAAGCGCCTACACTTGATCCGTTATTGACTATGACAATCAATGTCTCTGTCGTTTCCTGGGGACTTATTCCCTCAGGCCTCGAAGGACTTATTCCTTCGTCTTCCCGGGGACTTATTCCCGCGGGTTTCGGGGAACTTATTTCCGCCGTATTTTGTAATCTTGGGACTTATTCCCTTAACTTCCTCTAGCTGTGGTTGCGCAACCACAGCGAGATCCTCTTACGAAAGACTCTCCAGTCGATCTAGGATTATCGTTTCGCTTAACCTGACGATCGATTGTTTCTCTTCTAGATGTTCCCCGCTAGGGATACATCTTTGTCCCGGTCCACTCGACTTATTCGAGTGGTGGACCTTCGGCGCAGCCTGTGTTTCCTCACAGCCGCCGGAACTTTGCTCCGAAGTGTAACCGTTTGGTACAATAAGGTTTTGTGCAGTCGTACTAACGACCGTACCACAAGTGAGGCCATCGCACTCACTCGTAGTACATCCACACGCTTGTGGACGCTCCAAAACGTTCATCAGGTGGCCATCTTATGAATATGCGGCAGGCATCGTTACTGTTCGATGTTGCCAGTTTACCCGTGGTTCGTACCTTCTGAGCCACGGTATTCCAAGGAAGACATCAAATTTGTCATCCAAATCCAATACGATAAAGTCATCGTCATATTGGATATCTTCTAGCGTATAGTGGATCTTCACTATACGCTTCATGACAGTTACGGATGCGCCTGTCGCAAGACGTACCGTCATCCTCGTAGGAGGTGTGTCACATTCACTGAATTTAAAGTGACCATCTTCTAGCGATTGGCGTTGCACAAGATTGTTGGACGCCCCACAATCGACTAGAGCTCGAAGGGAAAACTTATTCGTCACTTCGAGTTTCAAGGTAATGAGTGAGACCTCATTACCTAGAGCAGCAACGCACAACGTTTGTGTGTTGGGAGCAACCTTCATCAAGAGGCCCACAAATTCTCTTGACGTTGCTGGACCAGTAGGGTGCTCCACACCTACTGATCCTGTCCGTTTTTTGACGGTCCATCCCGTTGTCGCGTCTTTGCATTAAAAGCGGACCCGCGTCCCTGCCCCTTTCTCATGGGTGGACGGTCACTACGTCCAGTGTTGAGAGACACTGGACGAGGGGCACTACACTCGTAAGCGTAGTGTCCTGTCTTTTGACATCTATTGCATTTCTGCAAGTTCTTGTAGTCTGTAGAGCGAGCCTTCTCGCTCTCTACATAACAGAGTTCCATCGGCTCTGGACCTCCGCTGTCATATCGTCTCGGTTGACGATATGATGTCGAGCTGGCGCGAGCCTATCTCAGACTGAAGTCTTCCTGTTCCGCAATGGAAATGGCTTGTTCTAGTGAATCTAGTTCAAGTCGGAACAGGTGAGTCTTGACGGGACCATCCGCAAGACCCTGCATGAACACCGAAACCAACGTGTGTTCATCCACCGGATTGGAACTTATACAACTCGTGAGATGTCGTATATGTTGCGCGTAAGCGTGCACATCACGCTTACCCTGTCTAAGCTTCAAGAGTTCTGTTC